TTTTTTTGGTCTCATCTTGTAAGTTATTTTTAATAATTTGTGTGTCACTATAATGTATAAGTTTAATATGTACTGAACTATATAAAGCCTTGGACAAAATATGCTAAGTGTTTCCTTTTTCTCTTTTTTTTTTTTTATATATAATTAAGTTCCTAAAAAAAATCATAATGTTACTTGCTATACTAAAAGTTGTGAAATTTAAAATACAACTATAACTAAATTTTATAGAAAAATGCTACAAGTACATAATAAATGTATATAGAGGTGTACATACTCACATGGAGTGGGGTCCACTTAATTTTTTATGTGACTGTTATGTACACCTCTATGTACAGTATTATGTACCTATATCATTTCTCAATTTTATATATCTCAAAATATAACAAATGAAAATGAAGGATGAAATATTTTCTTTCTTAAAAAAAAAAAAAGGTAAAAACTTTAAATTTTTCCGTTAACATAAATATATATCTTAAAATCATTGGAGTATATAATATTCGGTTAAAATTTAATATTTTTTTATCGAGAATGTAAAAAACTACTAGCTTTAATATTTAAGAAAACTAAATAACAACGATAAATTAAAACACATCTTACAATGAGTTGATGTTAGTTGATTCTTTTAATGACTATTAGTAAACATTAGTTAACCATGCGTCACGAAATAATATTTTGTATATTCAAGCAAGAAGAGAAATTTAATAAAACGAATGAAAAGAATAAGAGAATGCATGTAAAAACACATTGACTTTACTACTAAAAATCATGGTTTAGAAAATCGGACCGGACCGGCCGGTTTGACCGGTTGGACCAGGAACCGGTCAGTTGACTGGTCCGGTTTGTTGTAATGGACAGGTTGCCAGCGAATTGTCAAAACTTACCTAAAGTTGAACCGGTCGGACCGGTTTTACCGGTCCAGATTTTTTTTTAAAAAAAATAAATCTTATTATATTTAAATTCATCTTTATTTTTTCTATATGATTGAATTTTAAATTTATTTAATCCTTAATATAATTATATTGACATCGTCATAGCATGTACACTGCTATCGTGAGGAGTGGGGATGTGGCACCTCACTCCTCCTGGAGAATTGGTCCCACACCTCTAGGTATGGATCCTTTAAGCTGCTAGGCCCGTATCCCATGGGGAGCTGACAGTTTATGGTGAAGTCTTAGAGTGAACGTGGTCATACCTCTAGTCGTAAAAATAAATAAATAAATAAAAAGTAAAAGCTACTATATTTTTATTTTTTTTAATAAATCATAAATGTGAAAAATAGAAAGGAAATTGTATATGCACCGAGATTGATAAATTTTCAAAATTTAGTATATGAATTATTTGGGCCAATAACACTAGAAATGGGTCGGAGCAAGACTGGTATTAAAACTATTTGGGCTCTTCAATCATGTTATATGACCAACAGACCCTCTTTTCTTATTCAACGACCTCCAAAAGATGATTATTTTTGGAAAAATTGGAATTCATATATTTAAAAGAAAAAAAAAACGCTGACTCACGAAATTCTTGATACCATCTTCTGTGCTTTCCAAAATGTATTACAAAAAATTTGAATAAAATTTATNGTGATATAAAATAATAAATATTAATTAATAATAATATTAATTTTATAAACATAAAAATAAATCAAATATATTTTTTATTAAAAACATATAATAATTATTTTTATTTTTATTTGAAAGTTCAATGAAATGGTATTAAATTATTTCTTATTTTTCCATATGAAAATAGAAATGAGGAAATTCAATCTTGTAATCTTGAGAGATGATGATAGCTCAATTCCGACCGCTCACAACCCAAACCGCCGCCGTTTCCCACCTCGCCGCCCCTCCATCCGCCGGCGACGCCGGCCTCAAGTTCCGTCAAAAGCTCATCTACCTCAAATCCATCAAAGTAAACCCCACCAAAGCCCTCCGCATAAACCCTAATCTCCGTTCAGCCCCAATCTCCGCCATCCACTCCGTCACGCGATGCCTCTCCTCGATGGGCATCGACCTCGCCGCCGCCGGCCGGATTCTCGACATGTTTCCCCAGCTCCTCACCGCCGATCCCTACTCCGACGTCTACCCAATTTTCGATTTCCTTCTGCACGCCGTCCGAATACCCTTCCCCGAGGTCCGAAAATCCATAACCCGGTGCCCTAGAATCCTCGTATCGGACCTCGAGGCTCAATTGAAGCCTACGTTCGAGTTCCTGACCGAATTTGGCTTCGTGGGCCCGGATAAGCTGACGGCCCAGACGACTCTGCTGCTTGTCTCGAGCGTGGAGTCTACTCTGAAGCCAAAGATTGAATTTTTAGTCGGGTTAGGGTTCGAATACGATGATGTAAGGGAAATGGTGCTTAGGTTGCCGGGGCTGTTGACGTTCAGCGTGGAGAATAATTACCGGCCAAAATTGGAGTATTTCTTGAAGGAGATGAATGGGGATTTGGAAGAAATCAAGAAATTTCCTCAGTATTTTTCATCCAGCTTGGAGAGGAAGATCAAGCCTCGACACAGGCTTCTGCTCGATCATGGCTTTGTCATGTCCTTACCGGAGATGTTGAAAGTTAGCGATGGGGAGTTCAATGTCCGGTTGATAGAAAGGCGCCTGGAGATGGCGGATCAGTGGATGACGACGCAATCGTAGGATTTTCTGTAAGTTTGTTACTTGTTTTAATTTCTTTTATNTAATGCGATCTGTTTTTGGATGATTATGGAAACGTGTAGAGAAAATGAAGTTGTGAATGGGGTATCTGTTGAATCTAACTTGTTTTTTGAATGGGAATCGGAAAGTATATTCTCTGGAATGTGAATGGGGCTAACAACCATTTGGTTGTGTTGAGAATGTGCAATTGGGTGAAAGATTTGTTTTGGGTTAATTGATATAAGCTGTTTGTCATGTTTACTTATGTTATTGGAGAGGCTTTCATAAAGTTGTTAGTTTATGACAAATGGAGGATTAGTATTAGTTTTGTTAGAATTGAAGCATATGTGTGAAGTTTTTTTGCCATGAATGCATAATAAAGAGGTATATTATTTTTGGCACAATTGGATCATGCTTCATGATCAAGAATTCATTTTTATAACCTTGTAAACTTTTATATACACTTGTCATGATCAAGAATCCATTTTTAATCAACTTTCAGTAAGAGCTACTTTGGAGGAATGAGGTTAATGCGGTTCTTGCATTTAAAATTTGATTATGCTTTTCATGATCAAAACCACTTGTAATTGTGGAACAACCTCTCGAAATACCTTCGATTCTTTTAACTAATCAAGCATGAAAACTCATACAGGTCGAAAGTACTAAAAAAATGGCAACATTAACAAGGGACATGCCAGTATTTTTGAAAAAAATGCATAACTTGAACAACTTATATGTCTAAATACTGCTCGGCTTAATGGGACTAAAAACGAGCATTGAAAATGGACTGAAATAAATGACGAGTTATGCTGTCATATTTGTTCTTTAGTTTGATGGTTTAGACGTGAACTCCAAGTGTCCAATTCTTATTGTTGTACATGATATTGAAAAATACGGAGAGGATCAAACTAGTGGTTATATAAAAAAAAAATTGCAGGAGAATGAATATCTGCAGGTTATAAATGTTCTTTCTTCTCTGCAAATTATAGATTTGAAAGACGCATTTACTTTCCAAGCTTCTTTTTTCGAACTGCTTAAATCCTTTATATTATAGAGGTTTAATTTTCTGGATTAATCATTCCCCTGTCAATGCTGAGTCCTAAGAGTCAAAGTATTACATATTACGGAGGTAATTGACTATTTGATTTTGTTGATGTTCTACTTTATAATTTGTTCAGAATGATGCTTGCAGTTGTTTATTAGCCTCTCCATTATTTACTACTTCAACTACCAAATCGTCAGTTATTTTGGCGTTAATATCCAAAGTTCAATTATTCATGAAAATGTTGATGTAAATATTGTGATATTTCTTAATTGAGCTTACTGTAGAATGAATATGTAACTGTAGTGCTATGAGTTGTTTGGCATTTAAGAGGACTTCTGGACCTTTTCAAGTGAAAGATTCTTTCACTTTTATCTGTAGAGGTTAGATTAAAACTCATGTTTTCAATTAGAGCAGTTCTCTAATTACTGCGGGTAATTTTTTTTTTTTTTTTTGATCGGTAAGGGTAAAATTTTATTAACTGACAGTCTGCTTGCTGAAAATACTATGACCTTGTTTGGTAAACATCATTTTGGGTTAAATTAGAAGTTTGACCCATCAGTTGTTTTATAAGTAGCAAAACTGAAATAGCTTTCTGAATCCAAAGTTAATTTTGACAAACTTCAATATATAGACTTTTTGATTGTGAAATTTGTTGTTTTTACGTATAGAGGTTGTTTGATAATCAAATCAAAGATTAGCTTTATTGGTTAACTGATTGTGTTAGTTGTTTTGACCAGCGGATTATGTTTGTTTTGACCAATATATAAAATTAGTTATTTAAAGTGTTTGATAAAATTAATCGTGTTAGTTGTTTTGACCAGCGGATTATGTTAGTTGTTTTGACTAATATATAAATTAGTTATTTAAATAAAGTGTTTGATAAAATTAACTGTTAATGTATAAAATTGCTTTGAAGGGACATATTTTTTTTATATTTTCTTTATGCAACAATTATAATTATTTAATGATAAAAATTAATTGTATTTTAAGAACAGAAAACATTGATTTAATGATAGTAATGATTTAATGATGGTAATAATATAAGTTAATAAAACTATATTATTTGCACAACTTCTGGGAATTTTTGTTTTATTTTCTACTAAAAAGTAATGTAAATTAGGCAGTAAAACAATTAAAACATTCCACATGCAATTCAATTAATTGGCTTTCAATCCGTCAATCTGCTATACAAAATGTTGAAATTCACTTTTTTTTTTTTAGTTTCTTCGTCCAAAAAACGTATATTGAAAAGCTTCGTAACCAAATGAAATAGAGAAATTTATATGTTGAACGATATTGGATATAAAAAATTTTGGTTTTGTTTGGATTTTTTTGTTTGGTTTGGTTAATTTTGAAAAATTTGGTATGGTTAGTTGTTAGTGGGTATATTAGAATAATATTTAAAATAAAATGATTAAAGTTGATTTGATGTAAAATAGGAGAGAGAAGATTTGAAGTGATGGTTAGTTAAAATTATGTGAGTGGATGAATAGTGAATTAAGGTAAGGTGGTGTGTAAGAATGATTGATTGATATTATTTAATTATATTGATAATATTGATGATAGTGAGGTTGAGTTAAAGTTGAGTTAAAAAAAAAGTGGTTGAGTTAAAAATATTTGGATTTTTTTGAGAAATTTTGTATCCAAGCATGCTCTAAATATTTGATAGATAATTAGTTTTCATATTGAGTTACCATAACAATTCCACTATCTCTCTCTCCCAAACTTTTGGCCTCCCCGGTTCTCTTTCTTTTTTTTTTTGGGAGCCACATCTACAATTCTTTTGTCAATCAATCGTTGAGGGCCACATCTACTCCCCACTCATCCATGCAAAAATCGATCCCCTGGATCAGAACCTTGAATTCGTCCAACGCCTTCTTCTCCGAGTCGATTAACTCGTCGCCTTGTTGGTTTCCTCCTTGAAGGGAGCAGATTTGGAGATTTTAGCCTCTTTAGAAGCTCTGTCCTCATCCTTATCCTCCTCCGCAGATTTCTCTATCCTCATCCTTAAAAGCACAACTTTTCAAACCCGATGATTTTGATTTTGTTGAAGACGAAGAAATTGACATTGAGGAGATGTAATTTGATAAAGGATTTGTAGAAAGAGACGACTTGGTGGAGAAAAAAATAACAACAAAAATAAATATGGATGATAATATATACGTTATATAAATTGAACATATACAGTTTCATATGTGTAAACATTATGTATAATAATATATATGTTAAATAAACTAAACATATACAGTTCTTACTAGTGTGTATCCCGTGCGCTGCACGGAGGGGTTTTTACTTAAAACCTTTTCTAAGACTTTATATTAAACATAGTTATTTATGTTTAACATCTTATTATTATAAAAAAAGAAATACCAAATATGAAAATTATATATTATTTATTTTGAATATAATGAGTGTCCCCAACCAAACTAATAACATCCAACATATGATATATGATAAAATTAATTATATGATCGTCATACTTTTTGAAAAAATATACATATATTTCTAATAAACATGTAAGATCCGCATTTAAATTTGTATTTGGATATGGGATGAAAAATGAATATGTACAAATAAAAAAGTACCAAGAACCTACATAAAATGAGATTCTTTATAAACTTTAAAATATTTTGTAGTTAAGCAAATATTAACAAACAAAATCATCAATTAAGTTGAACTTATCGAATATAAAATATAATTTATGATATCATTGACCATATTTACCCGTTGTATTTAAAGTTATCATTGACCATATTTTTATGAATTAAGGTTTACAAAATATCTTTTTCAAAATAACAATTTTTTTTAATTTGAATTTGACTTTTTCATCCAACCGCCATTTTCCACAAAAATAAAAATAGTATTTTGGAAAATTTTAGACGTGAAAATCAAATAAAATTAATTTAATAGTAATCGATTAATTTAATATTATTCAAAATTGTTTATTCGGTCAACCCGATCTTAGTGCACGTTTAATTGAAACAATCGCTTACAAAATAAAAAAGTTAATCGCTTACAAAAAAAAAGGTAATCGCTTACCAAAAAAGGAAGTGAAATCTATCTATATAATATAAATCGGATTTGAAAAAAATAAAGGAAATGAAATTTCATAATTAATTAATTTAAATTGATGTTATCCGATTTATATCAACTCCCTTTCAAAAAAATAAAGGAAATATCCGATTCCTACCAAATCGATTCAAAAAAAAAGGATTATGATATACGTCCAAATAAATTACAATTGAAATGTAGGCGGGATTATGAAAAAAAAAATAAAAAAACTTTACCGAATAAAGTAATAAAACGAAAAAAAAAGCGGGAATATGAAGCGGGAAAATAAGATAATTTTTTTTGAGTTTTTTGAACAATTTTTCTTAGTCGTAATAATAGTAATAGATTTCCAAAATGTTACCACACATTTTTTTCTATTTTTCTTGTTTTTATTAAATTTTATTTACATAAGATATACATTGGTTAATTTTAAATTGAATCTAAAAGTCAACTCCTCACACTTTTCGAAAAATGTTACCACACAAATTTTTTTTTCTTATTATGTTTTATTTACATAAGATATACATTAGTGGTTAATTTCAAATTAAATCTAAAATTCAACTCCTCACATTCTTGAATTTGAATTTTTAAATAAGGAAATGTGTTTCCATATTTTTTGGTAGTTAGAATATGTTGGATTCATTTATCTATAACTAATCATACACGTATTCAAAACTTGAACCCAAACAAAATTCTTTGAATTTTTTGCTAACAAAATCACATTCCCATAATTTATTTATTTCGAAAAATGTTACCACACAATCTTTTTAATTTTGTTTTTCTATTAAATTTATTTACATAAAATATACATTTGTTAATATTAAATTAAATTTAAAATTCAACTCATCACAAATTTGTATATATATATATATATAGAGAGAGAGAGAGAGAGGGGATTCTCTCTTTT